AAAAAAAAAAAAAAAGAGCTTGCAAATCTTATTTCACAATCCCAAATCCCATCTCTAATGGAACTGAATAGCATTTGATATCCAGATGAGACCTGGACTACACTTTGGTGTAATAAAGGACTCGGTTCCCTGGCAGCTTAGCAGAGTACAAGTCATAGTTATCATTTTTTCCATTACTTGCCATTTAAAATGAAATGAAAACAGAAACAAGCCTACCTATGAGACCAACCTCTGCTGCAAGGTCATAGTAGTAGGAGAAAGCATAAAAATCCAGATTCTTCACTTCCTCAGTTTTATGCACTTTTTGGTAGAGCATCTTTGCCACTTTAGTGGAACAAGACTCGTACAAAGGTTCACCTGAAAGAAGGCAATTATAGGCAGGCAGTTAAACATACACACAATTTATTTAGACTCCGCAAGGAGATAGACTCCCTTTTGCACAACAGCACATCCTCAGTTCTTACAGGCTCCTCAGAGAGATCTGAAATAACAGGTCTGCATCTCTTTCCAGGGACAACATTTACCACCTTCAGAGTGGGGGATAAGCATGGAAGCATGGGGGATAAAAAGCACTGTTTCAGACAGGAGGATTTTGAAAGACCTGTTCAGGAAGCGCTCAACTCCTGCTGTAATACTGCTAACAGCTTTATGGAGTGGACAGACATGCCAGGACACAGAGCAGGAAAAAACAGCACCATCTCTTTAACAGGTCAGGCCTGAGAGGAAAAAGTCATACACAATGACACACAGAGCATCAAGTGTCTTTCCAAGTGCTCAAGAGTATTTACTTTATTCTGCAATAAACCTGTTTGCCTGGTAAGGAATAGAGAGGTGATAAGGCACTATACCTGCCTTCTGTCCTTTAATTTTGTACACTATCTCAGCGTGTTCCCACTCAGATTTGAAACCAGGTGATAAACAAGGGCTGATCAGCTCCTCACCTTCTCCTACTGCAGAAATAAAAGGAAGCAGCATTAGGAAAAAAAAATAGAAGTTAGTTTTAGATCCCTCCCCAGCCCTCTTCCACACTCTCACACCTTCAGCCATGATCCTTCCAAGCCCCAGTACTGGTTCAAGTGTCCCAAGTCCTGACAAGGCTGGCAAGAGTCCCTGCCTCCTGGGATGCAGCAGTGTCACCTTCTGCATCTGTCTCAAACGTGCCTGGGTTAAGTGACAGGAGTGCACATACCACATTGACAGCTTGAGCTCCACAACAGGGCAAAACACCCTATTCCCAGGCAGCACCCAAAACGCACGAGCTCAAAGACAAGACTGCAGGAGTGCCCGTCACTTACAGGGTTTTCCCTCAATTCCTCCTAAAATTGCGAGCCTTGCTGACATCAGTCCGAGTCCCAAGTAACTGCAAAGGAGAAAAGCATCCGTGAACATCCTCCCTCTGCTCCTGCACTGACAGCTTGAGCAGGACATGGCTGTCTCCTCTGTATGATCCCAGCAAGATGGTTTGAGTCGGCAGCTAACACACATAAGAAGAACAGCGTGTGACAACCCACTGCCACATTAGCCCATCTCTGGCAAAGGCTGACACACCAGCAGGATAACCTCTCCTCGAGCAAAGCACAGGGAATAGTCTGTCAACTCTATACTGGCTCTTTAGAGCACGTTTCCTCAACCCTTTTCTTAGCCCTCCCCATGCTCGGCTTGTAAAGATGGTTGCTCTGCTCAGGTCTCTCTGTTCTAAGGACTCGCTCGCACGAGACCCCAAAGACCCCACTTCAGCAAAACAGCTGCACCTCACTGGCTTCATTGTAAGCTTTTCTTTCCAGCACGTTCCCTTTCCCAAAACTAACCTGTATGAATACAGCTTATAGGTGGTGTTGAACATCTGAAATGAAGTTGCATGGCCGGCTGGTGATGCCTGCAGAGTTTCCTGGAAGGAGAAAAAGTCATCAGTGCAAAGTTTCTGCCTGCAAAAGTAAACAGCAACAACACAATCCTCCAAAACATTAGGAAATCCTCTAAAACAATCCTAGCCTGGTCCAGAGAGGAACGATGTATTTATGAATGGTTGGATTTGACCATGGATACATATGACATCACCAAAAGACAGCTAAAATAATAAATTCATGTGATGGAGTCCAATCTGGTTATATTTCTACTTCTATCCACACCAAACTAATTAAGAAGGAATCCTTATCTCACAGGATGCGAGAGTATAGTAAGAGGCTGAAGCTCAGGCCATGCTGCTGTTCTTGCCTAACTACTCATCTGCTAACGCTATCTCTGTCAATTCAAAATTTCCACATTCACCACACTATAGAGTTACAAATGCCCCTGGGACCACACCAAGGCAGATGTGACAAAGTGACCTGGACTTTTCCATCAGAAGTGTGGCTTCATGTGCCAGTGACAAACTGTGTCTGCTTCCAAGGGAAATAAATCATAGCACTCACTGCTTTAGCAATGGCATTTCACTGCGATGAGCGTGTTCACATTACCTCAGTGTGTGGGAGGAAGGTGATCTGTGTTGATCCACCACCCAAATCCAGCATTCCTACACTTCTCTTCTGTGGATTATTTAAGCTGCCTGTAATGTGGGAAAGAAC